TGTTATCTCACAGCAAGAAGGTCCTGAGTTCAATAATACCATCAGGCTGGGATCTTTCTGTGTGGAGTTTGGATGTTCTCCCTGTGTTTTTGTGTGGGCTCTATCCAGGTACTCCGGCTTCCTCCCACATTCCAAAGACATGCAGTTAGTGGGGTTAGGTTAATTGGAAACTCTTAATTGCCCATGAGTGTGAATGGTTGTCTGTCTCTATGTGTTAGCCGTGTGACAGACTGGCGACCTGTCCAGAGTGTACCCTACCTCTTGCCCTAAGACAGCTGGGATAGGCTCCAGCAGCTGCAGCTCACAGAATCTTTTCTTTTTTCCCGACCATTCTCTCTAAATCCTTGAGATGGTTGTGCAGGAACAGAGTAGAACTTAGCAGACCGGCAGATTCTGAAATAAAGTTCAAAGTCACTTAAACCACCTTTTTCCCCATGTCTACATGACTTGAGTTGTTGGCATGCCATTGGCTGAGTAGACATCTGAAACAAGCAGTTGGATGGATATAGATAATTTGGTGGCTCTATATACAGAGCGATGCAACACCCGTGTTAACTCACTGATTATATCTTCATAGTCACATAAAAGTACTCCAGCATTATATTTGCAGGTGACAATAGCATGGTACCAGCATGCAAAGAAAGCAAACAGCTGCATTGATGTACACGTTTCTATGTGTACTTTGGTTAGAGGGAAATATTGATTGGCCATTAACTTGACTAGCAAAAACATTTTGGGAAAAGTGCGCTGATAACAATATTAAGGAACCAGAGATCAAGGTCTGCTGCATTTTACTGGCAAGCCAACAAGTGTATTAAGTGTACCACTTGTGAATCAGAAAGATAACATGCTACTGAAAAGTAAAGTGTACGTGCACAGAAACAGCAGGCTTCATCATGTTCCCTGTGTCAGTTTCACATGCCCAGTTAGACTACTGCAGACTATTGCAGTCAATGACCAGATAACACAGTAGGTAATAGTGCACGAGGTAAGTGCACTTTAATCTGTTCCTCTATGTTGCATTTTGGGTGTTCTTTGCACAAACATTTGGCTTCTTAGTCTCTGTCCTTTTATTCATTTTTGTACATTGTATAATGTTATTTGTATATAAAAAGATGACAATGAACAGTGTAGTTTCCACAAGATAGGAAAATGAGTCAGTTTACGCAAACAGGAACAAATGAAATGTTTTCATACTCATACAAAAGTGACAATTTTGGCCAGAAGGTTACATATCCTCATCATGTGCATGAATATCATGGTCATTTTGGGCTTTTAATTATTTCATTGAGCTGTTCTTTTTCCAGGGTACAGCACACATCTTTAACCCTCTGGGGTCCAGGGTATAATTGGCCGTTTTTGACTACTTTTGATTTTACCTCTATATTTCACCTTTAAAATGTGTTTTTCTTGCCTTGT